GTTTTGTTTTCTGCCTTCTATAATTTTCATGGCAGGTTACTAAGCGGCAAAAAGATCGATAGAAATAGCTGAGAGACGTGCGAAACAAAGGACCCGCATGGTGTGGTGGTGAACGCGTTACTCCCCGGAAAGGATAATAGCGCGTTCGTTCCCCACCATAGACACCTGCGGTCCAGAGTTTTGCAAATATCTCAGCAACGTTGTGGTTGTATTTCGCTTAGTAACCTGCCATGAAAATTATAGAAGGCAGAAAACAAAACGTTAAACATTATATAGTTATTCCTCAATTAACCTTTGTTATTCCTCAAGAGGTTGCCCTATCACGTATCATCTTTGGCGTGGTCTTTGTTGTTTACCTAGGCACTACTCGTCAAAGTGAGTAACACGGTGTCCTATTACATTTACATTACATCTTTTTCACTCTTTCCCGATAAGGAATGAGTCCGAAAAGGTGGTATACTCCGTCGAGGAGATAGCATTACAGCGAATAATAAAACTCTTCGATTGAAGTGAAATGAGGGTCATTTATGCTGAAGCGAAAACTTTTCAACAGTCGTTTTGTTTTTTTATTTTCAAAAAAAGTATAACTATGCATGAAACGGAATAAAACCGACGATATATTGCTAAACAAGTATAAATTGTTAGTTATTTGATCACAGAGATTGGTTCCTACGTGCAACGAACGTAGGCAACATAATGAAAAGGAGACTATAAAGAGGGCACATGTGCCTCTTACGAGTTTCTCTTCCAAGCCGCCTACGAACAAAATGACAGTTCGAACGCCTGCGCTCAATTGAGCTTGACGATGGTTCCAGTACTACTTTACATATCTGAGAATTATTTCGACATTTCATACATTGTCGAGATCGTTTCCCTCCATCTTCGGAGTGCTTGAGCGATATGTTCTACTCAAGAAGAATATGGCTGATATACAGAATATTTTGGCGGATTTCGCTATTCAGGCCTTCGAAAATTATACACTCATCAAGATACAACATCAAATAGGAGGCGATGAAATTGTGTGAACGAGAGAGGTTTGTATCACGGCCGAAAAGAATCTAGCGCCTTCTAAGGAAACCACTTACAGCATAAACGGAGCTCCTTGTTTTTCCTGTGAAGGAACTGCTCTTTCAATGACAGATGGCTTCTTTAATGATGCTAGAAATCGTCACCGTAATCGAAACAGACCATCGCCATAGATGGTGATCGAAATATTATGAAACTAGCAGAACATGAATATCAAATTTGTGTGAACCATCAACACCGCCCATCCAAGTATCCATGTAGGTGCTTTATACTTCCGCTGGACTTTTTATATAATCATGGAAACATAAATTTTTAACCAAAAGTGAATTATTAGAAAATGAAATCCATCCAATCATTCCACCTATAGGATTCCAGTGGCAAAATCATCGAAAATCATTGCGGTCTGGATTCGACAAATCCAAGAAATCTTCAAGATTGATCATTTGGAAAACTAACAAAAGTAACTTCGAACAAAGTAAAAGTATTTTATGCTCACTAAAGAATTCAGAACCTCTTCTTGCGTGTATCCCATTGGAATAACGAAGTCGGCTCCTTCACTAGTCTTTCTACCAGTCGGTTGTGTTAGATGTACAACACCGTTGTCCATTTCGTCAATGAGCACAACCGGATTTTCATCCACTTTCCCTAGTTGCGGTCGAATTCGATAGAACACACGTATATTGCCTGAATTGTTATCGTATTACCGTTATCGTAGCCAGCTTCTTTGCACGATAATAGTAATAACAACATCTGATATGAGAACACAACTGTGGTCACCCAACTGACCATTGATTTCAACTAATTGATTGTGTAGCTGCTTCCGTTTCTGCATTTCGGAGCAGTATCGACCGATCAGCACTCGAAAGAAGTCGGTTGTCTTTGACTCGAGCATTAGACGTAACTGGAATCTATCATAAATTTCCAAATATCGTTTTCTTCCAATTGTTTGCCTTTGCTTCTTTTCCTTCTTTGCTTTCTTTAGCTAAACTAACAGTTTGGCCTGTTGTGTTAGAAGTATTCTTCGATAGTGGAAAAGATCAAGGTGTTTTTTGGTATGGACCTTAACAGTCACTGCTGCACTAGGAGGAGGAAGTGGGGATTAAACGCACAGCAAGAAGAAAGTTTAATTTTTGATAAACTACAAATTATTAAAAGAAAAATTCTCACCTCACCCATACATACTGAGAATGCATCTTTCGAGTCAATGACCAATTGTCGTAATTCATCCTAAATTCAGTATTTCAGCGGTACTTTGACCTATTTCCTCTTCTATTGTAGCTAACTAACTTCTCATTTTCAAGTACAAAATTACAGAGAGGTGCACTGAAATAGAAACATTGTCGGTGCTTCGATCTTGCGCAATGTGCAAAGCGGGCCATCCGGTTGGTTAAACTGCTGCTGGAATTGTCTGGAAGGACAAAACACCGACTTTGTACCTCAGTGGGTCACTGATAGTGATTGTATAGGCTAGGTATGCACTTAACTACCTCTCATGTTGCCTAATGTTTCGAGTTCGTAGCCTATCCCACAGCTGTCCCTAAGGGACTGATCAACGCCCTGCGCTCTATCGCTTATCTGTTTATCATTTCCCATTCCACTAAAGTGGACGATTGCAAGATTCTGCTAGAGAAGCGGTTATCGAGATGCATTAAAGGAAAGCAAATTGTTGAATGCTACTGGTCGAGTGGTTTCACGAGTTTTTAAGTTAAACGATAATAATAATCTTGCAAGAAAAAGGTTGAAAATGAATATTTACATATTACATATTATATATATCCTGATTACAATAGCCACCTGACAGACCTTTTCCCTTTTGAGATCGTCGGCCACTCTCTTCAATTTCTTCAGATGTCCGTCGTCTTTGATGGTTTGTGCCAGCTCTTGGTAGTTCACATCTCTGACCGGGCGCGGGCTATACCATGGAAATTCATTTGTAAATCGAAGGTGCCTTTGAAAACCAAAAAAAACGTGACATTCATAAATAGAAATAAACGAAGTAGGGTTGTTCTATCAAATATGACCTTAATTTATTTCTTGTTGCATGTCTGATAAGATGGTGGATAAAATCGGTTACTCTGTTAAAGTCATGTTTCTTATAAATTGCTTACTTCTACAAAAATAAAGCAAATAAGAACCTAGCGTTGGTTACTGCTAAGTACGAAATCGGATGCAGTAAATTTATGTGTTATAGCTCTGCATATCTCCTACTAGACAGTTTACTGCCTTACTGTGAGGAAGACGTTTTCCTTTGGTTGCAAAGTGCTATGTGCAGTAGGGAATGGCCTTTCAGTATTATCAGTACATTAAAAAAATAAAATAAAAAAATGAAAAACAAGCGAAAATAAAAGTAAGAAAAAGTAAAATAAACTGCAGCTGAATCCTCGCCATCTTGAACAAAAAATGCATGTACTTGGACAACCAAAAACTAGATTAACGCATGTGAGGATCTAGGGCAGCACTGTGCTTGCTATCACAGACCTTCAATGGGAAAATTTCTTACCCGTTCGTAAGGTATCAGTCAGTTGGAAATAGTGATGGGGTGCATGTACTTTGAAGGACGGTTGTTCAATCGTCCAGGTAAGTAGACGGATATTTCCATATGCTCACTTATCAACTCGTTGTCCTATCAACTTTTTTAGAGGTTTTAGCAATTATTTACTGCGAAGCAACTAACTTTGAATGGAAATAGAGTGATACCTAACTCTGAAGCGGTCCTCACTTGACGGTATGTCGCTCTCGTAGTCCTCATCTTCTGTAAGCTGTGATAGACGTTGATTTCTGTGCACTTCGGCCAGCGCCACTTTCAACCTCATATTTTCATCTCGAAGAGCACCAAAGTCCAACGAAAGCACTGAAATCCCTTTGAGAATTTTCGAGCTCGGTGTATAGGAGCTGGCGCGACCTGAAAACGTCCCCCCTCAGTATCGCGAATGCGGTATTGTAGCGTTACACTATGCAAGCCGGTGAAACGGTGCTATGGTAGCGTTTAGCAGTGGAGTGGACTTCAAATGGACAGTAGCAAAGCCATAACTTTTCAAGCATGCCAGATTATATGGTTCGCTTAGGAAAAATTCACTAATCTGAAAGAGAACTAAAATGAATATTAAGCCGAACAACCTAAACAAATGTATTGATTATTCACACTGAGGTTAAGTGGAAGCCGGCTCAGTAAAGTAAAATGAATGGGTTAGTTGCATGGCCCTAAGAAATCACCGCATCATAATCGCAATTACAAGCTATCATAGTGCTTTCGAAATCCATCATAGCCACCAAGCCAGCACTGCGGTTCGATCTTGCGCCCTGTGTCAACCAATCCCGCATCTCTCGAGGTTGAAAAAGTCGACTTCATTGGAACGATAAAAACACTGGCTTGAGAGACAGGCAAAAACTGTAAAAGTCGTTCTAGAGTCCAGCAATGCATTCATTCTTCACAGTTCTACGAATGGAGTCTAATACGAGGCGCATCCCTCGGGGACTAGTCAGCATTACCCTCTATACTTTGGGATACAGTGATCTGTTAGTGACATTAAATGTGCAAGCAGATGCTGTATGGTGTGGTGGTTATTTGCTTCAGTTAAAGGTACTAACTATTAACTCTAAGCGTTTTAAGACTCACCTTGTATAAAATCCTCCATACGAGATATTCGAGTTTCTTGCTCGTCAATAATATCTTCTAAATTCCTAATGAGGCGATCTTTATTCTGGAATCGCCTGTACTAACTGGTTTAACCAAATAATGATGAATTATGGATTCTAGAAAATAGCTGACAGCATACCTCTAGATGTGTTTCTAGTATTCGTATTTGAAGTTTCATATTCACCAACTCCACTTCATGAATATAGCGACATTTTTGGAAGTATTCACTCTCAGATATGGAGTTCATTACCTAAAAAACAAAAGTGAAGAGAAATAAATTTGAAACGATAGCAGCAATTCGGCAGTATATGGCACAATGGGAGTGGTAATAATGATGATGTAGGTGAGCACGTCGAGGTAGATGACGGGTGGGAGTGACGATGGAACTAGTTCGGTGAATGTTGGCCTTGTGGCAATCTGCACACTACTAGGTCTGTCGATCAACCAGGGCTAGGATTCCATGTTGTCAAAAACAATCGAGTTTCTTTTTACTAACTGCTGGGAAATAAGTCAGATGAATACAATAGGTGAAAAGGAAGACGAGGATATAACCATATGAAAAACTGAAAGATTGGATAAATAGAAGAGCGTAGAGGTAAGAAAACAAACACATCAATAGGACTAAGGTCATGTACTACATCGCCATGAATGGTGTGGTGTCATTCTTCCAGGCACAACGATAGGCCATCGTGGACTAGGTCTGTGGTTAAGGAAACCAAATCTCAACCATGAAAGAAAGGAAGAAGAAGCTAGATATCATTTCTGACTCATTCTTAAGCAACATAAAAATTTAGCATCCATAACAGTTATTTCTAATGGTCTCATATTTTCATCATTATCAATTCCAATTGGTACTTCATCTTGTTTTGCTGGAGTATACGATAGCATCTCCTCGGCATTTGATTCTTCTCAAGCGTAGGTTGCGCAATCTTCTTTCGTAAGGTTTAGTCCACCTAGACTAGGTAACCACCTGGAAACATATCTCTTCTCTTTTTTAAACGATTTTTCCAGGAAGTATCGATCGATTCTGCTTCCCGATGAGCCAGTTTTATCTCTTTTAAAATAGTCCAACGAAATCGATAAAACAACGAAACAAGTTTTTTTTAAACAAGAGAAGAGATCTCAGTAGATTTAACATATGTACCGGTGAATATTGGTGACACAGAAAGTGCGTCAATATATGAAATGATCTAATAACATTTTTTAACTATAGCGATGCTGAGATATTTCCAAAACGCCGAAACGCTGGTGTCTGCGATGGCGAATGAACACGCAATTACCCTTTACGGGTGTTAACGCGTTCACCGCCACACCATCCGAGTACTTTGTTACGTTTTACTCAGTCGTGTTATTGACCTATAGGTGCCACCAGCAATCACCCATCAACGGAAACTAGTAAGCAGTAAATAAAAATTGACGACGTGATTTACACCACAGCTTCGGCTTAACTGGGTTCAATGCCGATTTTTGTTCCCCAGATCAATCTCGGTGAAGGGTGAATGCTGATGGCAGTTATAGGTTAATAATATAGTGAGAGAAATACGAAACGAAGGGCTCGCATGGTGTGGTAGTGAACGCAATAGCCCCGGAAAGGGAAATAGCATGTTCGGTTTCCACCGCAGACACCAGTGGTTCGGAGTTTTGCAAATATATCAGGAAAGTTATAGTTACAAATAAAGAGCAAAGGATAAAGCTCTGGGCGTTGATCAATTCCTAAGGGTTCGGCCATGCATTCGACTTCATTAAGCAATCTTTTGAGGCGAATGAATGCATATCTGGTCTTTACAATAGGTCGTGGTAGTCTACCGATGTATCGGGAAAATGCTGCTAACCTCCCAGACAGTCTGGTACCAATTTGCCTACCCCGGAGCGATGGAAGGCTTGCTGGGCCATGTGCACGAGGGTCGATTCCATGTGTGTTGCAGGGCGCATCCGATCACGGCGCAACACGAGCCCCTGTTATAGTTATATTTCACAAAATACGCTGCCATTGAGAAAATAGCAGGCGGTGAATAAAAACTGACATTTTTTAAATTTTAGTCAGCAGCCAAATGTTTCTTCTTCTTTTCAGAAAACGATGAGAAATAATTTTTAAACAGGATAAGCACAATCACTACGATTTAATTTGGAGTTTTAGTGGCTCTGATTAATTTTTCGCTCCTGAATGCGGTAGCCACACTTTATCTTTTCCTAAAATGGTGGAAGATCTCTCAGCCGAATTTATTTTGATTTGATCTGTTATGAAACCTCATGGAATAGGCTATTGCGGTCATTGTCGACGAACAACAAATAAACCGATGATTGATTGCGAAGAAGTGTACTCGTAAATAAAATTACTGTTTTTATGATCACACTGGAGGACAAACAGATTTTCGGAAGCACCGTAATCATGGCTGGCCGCCAAACATTGTCGTGATTACTCCGCTGCAGACCGGTTATTCAGGGGTTTTTGCAGATGTGTTAGTGTTGTTTTCTACTTTTCTATAAATGGAGGTGAACAAATACTTAACAAAGGACTCATCAATTAGCAGTTGGAAAAAATGTACCGTTTTTCAGTTAGAACATTCGATTTACTGAAGTGTTCAACATTCCTGCAGTCACTCTAGAAGCGCACATAGCATTGGCTGAGAAGAAAAAATCATAGGATGTGCGTGCTGGCGGTTTATGACAATTTTCTCTTTTTTGTTTTGGGGAATATATCCAAAATAAACGCTAGTGGAGTAGCCCGCAGCTATGTGTTGCAACGTAGGTTAGTGTTTTGGTTGAAAATTTGCCAAATTCATGGGCAATTTGCTAGACATTTTCAAATTATGGTCTATCAGTGGTACGTATTGAGACTATAAGAAGAACAACCCATCTGTAGAGAATGCAACCATTATGGAGCTGAAATAAAGCTTGGACCCCAGGCCAGTTTCAAACCGATTAACCCTAACGGAGACTCATGTGTTACCTACTGCATTTTCGAAAGGAAAACAATGATAATAATAATAAGCAGTAAATAAAAGTTTACCACTGCGATTTAGATTGCAGTCTCAGCTTAACTGGGTTAAATATCGATTTGTGCTCTCCAGATCACCCCCGTTCACGGGTTACTGCTGATAACACCGCTAGGTATAAAACTGGTTGAGAGAACGGAAAGTGTCTCAGTTGTGTAGGGAGTAACTTCTGAGCCCTCGAAAAGTGTAATCATAGGCTTGAAGCCCAACCGAACCTAGGCTGTGATTCAAGTTTTGCAAATATCTCAGCATCATTGTGGTTGTATTTCACATCATACTCTGCGATGAAAAAAACTAGTAATAATAGGCAGTAATTACAAGTCAAAAACTGCGATGTCTGTAAATAGTTTACATGTGAATTTGGTGAACTAGTACGTACGCTCAGCGCAGTAGCACAGATGCCGTTAAATACGCTCAAGACTCTCGCCGGCTCTACCCTGGTCTAACCGAGCCTCGCATGCCCAACGCTCCAGCACAGCTTTCTCAAAGTTTTCAGGGTTAGCCGACTCGATCACTCTTAACGACGTTTATGAAAAAAAGCAAAGATTCTCAACAAGTACCAAAACTCACATACAAATTGGAAGACTTCTGTGGACGACAGCTGCAACGAGATGGATCAAATGATAAGAAGTGCTCGAGTCCGCGCAATGTGAAATATAGGTTCATGTATTCACGGGTCTCTCTTACATGAGGAATCTCGAGCTGGTTAGTCGTGAGGCTACCTTGCGCGTCCCCAGGTGGTGGATAGGGGATTAATTGCGGATCAAAAGCGACCTTTGCTTCCCTGAGACGTAGGTGGATCCAGGGGATGGACTCCCTGTTTCTGCTGCCCCAATTTGGCACATACTTTCCGTATTTGCTAGGCGTATTCATGTATGTGTGTGTGGATGCTTTCTAGCTTATGCGAACTGTATTCTGCGAGTCAGTTCGGTCAAAAGCCTGCAATCAAGTGACAAGGGAGGTGTATGGGAGGGAGTTAGGAGTCACCTCCAACAAATAAGCTGCATCTCCACTCTGGGAGAGCCCTGCAAACTACCCGTGAGAATATCCAGCTCCCACGTACAGAGCCCAGAAAGCTATACGTGGATATCAAAATGCTTTCCTGACCCCGAAAGAGCCTCCAATTTTGCAGCGTTAGGTAGGACGAGTACGGAGAGGCTGCTAAAATCTCAGGGCCAATGGAAGCTGCGTGGATCACGAAGAACTATGGTGATGAGAAAGAACTGTACCTACAATGCACGTGCACTTGCATCCGAGTACTCGATAGACGACTTTCTTATGCAAGCAAGAAGAATAAGGTACGACGTCATCGGCCTGGCTGAGAGGAGAAGACGCTAGCCTTTCAACGCCGTCTATGGCACCGGAAAAGAACTGTCCCTCGGAACATGCGGCAGTAGAGGAGTCGGCGGTGTCGCCGTTCTCGTCAACACGAGTTTGACCATGAACATCGATTCATTTGAACAACTTACAACCCGAATCGGACGTTTACGATTTAAAAGACGTGGAACAATTCCGGAACTGACAATCTTCATCGTGTACGAGCCGACATTAAACTATGACGAAGAAGGAGTCGAAGCGTTCTATATGGACTTGATGAACTTCCACAGAAAAGACAATACATTCTTCAAGGTCATCATTGGAGATTTCAACGCCAAGAGTAGGCCAAGAAGAGCGTCTGAAAAACGCCACATTGGGACCCATGGGTTAAAATGGAACGAACAGGGTGAGCGGCTACCTGAGTTTATCATGGCGACCAAGACAATCCATGGTAAATCGCAATTCCAGAAGCCCCACTCTTGGCGCTGGACGTAGGAGTCTCCCAGTGGAGAGTACTATAACGAAATAGACCACATCACAGTAAATAGAAGGTTTGGCCTACTCGATGTCGCTGTTGACCTAAAATTCTACACGGAATCAGACCACCGCCTCCTTCGTGCAAAATTCTATTTCTAGCGGAAAGGAGAAAAAGCCGCTAAATCCATTAAAATCGAAGCCGCAAATCCTACATGAACTGGAACTTATTCAATTCATTAGTTGGCTGTTGGAAAGATGCCGATGTGGATAACATCGACGAGGAATACGATCAGCTCACTCAGCATCTTCACGTTAGCGCTATGCAAGCTGAGAGTTCGAAAGACACCAACAGACATTTATCTCCAGAAACATTCGAGTTGATACGCCAGCGTGGAATCGCACGAGCTGCAGGCAACCGCGAACTAACGTCCGAACTTGCAAAACAATGCACACAGGC